GGACATCGCTGTTGGCATGACCGTTGCTTCCCAATTTTTAAAAATCAAGCCTAGAACAGCGATGTCCAAGCCTAGGACAGCGCTGTCTAGGTGAATTTCAGCAGATCCAATTTTAATCAAATCCCACAAATTATGCCAATCACCCCTTAAATACTTTGGTCCGTTGGAGCCTATTTTTCTACTATAAAATGGGGTGTTTGGGTCTGTTTTACACAACACATTACTTCACAACTCCTACTCTTTCATTGCAAATCATTCTTCAATTTTTCATAGCTTTTGAGAGCCATTTTTGTGAAGCCTGTGTTGTGTTTTTGAGCGTTCTTACTTTACTCATTATCCACTCTAAAAGAGAGTATTGTTCTTGAGTGTTTTTAGTGTTCTTAGACACTTGACAAGAGAAGGTATTTCTCTTGTTGTTCGAAGGAAGGGTTGTTTCCTTCGAAGGTTCGTTGAGGTTCGTGTGACTCGAATTCTCAAGTTGTACGGCTTTGTTAAGCACCGTTAAGCTTAACGAGATAGTAGTGTAGCTCGAGAGAGTCTCTCGGGAGGCTGGACTAGCCACAAGTTGTGGTGAACCAGGATAAAATCGGTGTGCCTCGTTCTTTTCTCTTTACTTCTCGCTTATTCATTTTTATTCCTGCGATTTCTTGATCAAACGCTATTCACCCCCCCTCTAGCGTTGGTCTATTATTCTAACAAACTTAAGTTTGAGAAGAATCTAATTTGTGATGCATGTCAAAAGGGGAAGCAAGTAAGGGCCTCGTTTAAGTCAAAGAACGTTGTTTCTATTACTAGGCCATTACAACTTTTGCACATGGACCTTTTTGGACCTTCAAGAACTATGAGTTTAGGAGGTAATTACTTTGGCTTTGTTATCGTTGATGACTATTCGAGATTTACATGGACACTCTTTCTTGCTCATAAGTATGATGCACTTAATGCCTTTAAGAAATTCATTAAATTGGTTCAAAATGAAAAAGATTGTCACATTTCATCCATAAGAAGTGATCATGGGGGAGAATTCGATCAAGATGGCTTTGACGCCTTATGTGACGATTTAGGCATTGAGCATAACTTCTCGGTCCCCCGTACACCACAACAAAATGGAGTGGTTGAACGGAAAAATAGATCTCTTGAAGAGATGGCTAGAACTATGCTCAATGAGGCAAACCTTCCTAAATATTTTTAGGCGGATGCCGTGAGTACCGCGTGCTACGTGTTAAACCAAGCCGTCATTAGACCGATACTCAAGAAAACGCCCTATGAACTTTACAAAGGAAGAAAGCCTAACCTTTCCTACTTTCATGTCTTTGGATGTAAAGTTTTTATTCATAATAACAGAAAAGATAACTTGGGAAAATTTGATGCTAAGTCGGATGAAGGAATTTTCTTAGGTTATTCTCTTCGTAGTAAGGCATATAGAGTGTTCAACAAGCGTACTAAGACCGTAGAGGAGTCTATTCATGTTGTCTTTGATGAATTTGATGCTCGCTTGGCGAGAAAAGGTATTGTTGATAATGTTGCAGGTTCTTATGATGATGA